AGGAGATCAGGGCTTTCTCCCATGTGCAGTTTGGAGCAGATGTAGTCTCTGCTCTTTTCTGTTTGGAGTGTTCCAGGGGCTTGCTGAGGGAGTGCAGTAAATATTACGTGTGGGAGAAAGGAGGGAGCGAGAATCAAGCCATTAATTAAAGGCTGCCTAGTCTGAGCAAGCCAGTGCTTAAAGCAAGTTGCCATGGATGCTCCAGCCTGAGTCACGCTCCTCATGCTCCCCACTGCTGTGCTGGCTGTCCCTGTGCAGAGAGGGTGACACCAATGGCTTTGGTGGCTCACAGAGCAGAGGGCAAGAAGCATCACTGCAGCCCCAGCGAGCTCCCCTGGAAAACAAATGCATGGCCAGCAGATAAATCTCCACTGGCAGACTAGTGCATCTCTAGGAACTCCTGCAACCAATAGCAAGGGCATATCTATTGTTAACATTTTGTTGGGTGAATGAGAAAAAAGCATTGAGTATATCTGTACCTCAGTCTCCTCCTCTGTAGTGTGTGAAGGATATGTGCAGTAGTGTTGGAATACTTTTTAAAGTTTACACCAAAAGTGCTTGGCAAAATGCAGCAAACTATGATTTATTAATGATTTGAAGATGGTCCAGAAACTGAAATGTCACCTGAACAAGTTACAGGGCAAATGCCAGATAGCCACCTCTTCTACATACCCTTGTGGTATCTAAAACCTTTTTGGGGAAAATTTTTCTTTAATTCAGGGCAGCTTTATCCAGGGGATGGAGATTCAAAGGGCCATCCAGAGGGCCGATCAGCTTGGCATGGGTTTAAACATTTTCAAGGCAATTAGCCTGCCGAGATTTCTTTGTCAGATTCCAAACAGAGCAAATGATTGGGCTCAATCTGAACATCCAGAAAAGGATGCAGAATGTTGGTGCCAATGCTTTTTTAGTATCTCTGGCAGATCTTGTGTGCCAAACTGCTCATGTGTCCAGAGGTAAACTTAATCACCAACTCTGAGCTGATTCTCTCCACCCATCTGAGCTGATGGAGACATCAGGCTTTTCACTTCCTCTGTAGCAGGTGGCTTTTAAAATATCTTCCTATGTCACACCTAATTCATTCCTGCCATTGCATCACTCACTCTCTGGAGCACAGTTCTTGTCTCAACATTTTTCTTTTATTCTATATGATGCAAGTATTTGGCCTGATTAAATTATAGGCTGGGTACTGTCATGCAGTTTAAGGATATCAGATACACAGGAGGCCAGACTAGGTGGTCCCAGTAGACCCTCCCATGGAAAAATGAGACCAAATGGAATCATTACAAAGCACCAAGTAATTTCAAAGCAGCAGGCACTGACAGCAACTCACAGGCAAAGCTGTGAGCTGTGCCACTAGGTGATTTAATACCCACCTGGCCTCTGACTTATCTGACACTGCTGTGAGTGGCACAGCTGGGGGCTGCAATGACTGTGTGCACCAGTGGACAAAAAATAAGCAAAACCTTGTGCAGGTCTCCTCCTGAACACCCAGATCTCCTTGGATATTCTTGCAGTGATTCATTCTGGCTCCAAGCTATCCAGACAGCCCAGTGAGTCCTTCACAGGAGCAGCCTGAGGTGCCTCAGCCAGGGTGTCTGGGCACTGCTGCCCTTCCACACTGGCTGTGTGCAGGCTGGAGTCTCTGCTGACTTTTCAGCATGCAGGATCATGCTGCTTCTCCTTGGAAACTGTGCAAATTGTGCAAATATTAAAAGTAACTTGTTAGGACTTGTTCATTTAATTATGGAGTCAATTTGAAAGCTTCAGAGGAGTGAAGGGAAATAATATTTTAATTGGATTTTCTCATTGGTACAGAAATAGAATAGGAAATATCTAGAAAATATTAAGTACAGCTGTCTTGTTTTAATGAAAAATGTATATGAAATTAAAGCAAATTATTTTTATGTAAATGTCATCACATATCTTTGTTTAAACCTTCAGTCTTTCTCATCATGGAAATGGTCTTTCAAACCCCATGAATCTCTAGTGCTGGAAGTGACCCCAGTTCTTGGCAGGTGGCATAGCCTCTCACATCCTGCTGGCTGGGTTTGCCACAGCTGCTGAGAGCTTCTGTCTGCTCCTGGCAATCAAACTTCCCTTCTCTCAGGCACTCTACACTTCTCCACAAATGCATATGAGATCAGTACTCTGCAAAAAAGGAGGGCAACTTAAACATGAGGTAACCAGCCCAGGTTCAGTAAAAGTGCTCTTGACTTTACTCCAGGCTCAGAAGAGATGCCATAAACTTCCCTGTGGTGCATTTAAGATGTCACAGTAGTTTACCTGGATCAAGCAGCACATTTGGAGTGTGAAGGCAGAGAGAGCTTAACTGGAGCTTTCATCAGCAGCCACAGAGCAATTAGTTCTGCAGAACAAAATTTTAAGGAGACTCTTTTGAGGGCTTATTCTTATTTTCAAGTGAGTTAACACATTAATGACACTTTGTTTGTTGCATTTCTTCTTTGGTTTTTTTTCCCTCAAGCAGCCTAAAAGCATGCAGGAAAAATACAGGGATGCACTAGAGTGACTGTGCTGCCTGGCATTGCCCACCAGCCAAAGGGTGGGGGAGCCTCCACAGCAGCTCCTGCCAATGTCTCTGGTTTTCCTGTTCCTGAATGCAGCATCCCATGAACTGTTATAACACAAAACCACATTAGATCTCTAAGCAATCTGCTTCATGTGGGTGATGAACACCAGTGTGTGCAGGGTGCCAGCACTGCTGAGTACAAACTGACCATGAATGCCAGTGCCCTGGTTCACCACACACTGGGCACAGTGACCTCCTTCTCCAGCATCATCATCTGAAAGCTTTGAAGCTGATTTGGATGAATGATGAGTATACCACAATTTCATGGACAAGTGGAAGAATTGATGCAAGATTCTCAGGCCTGGGGAATTCTTTAGTGTTCACCAACAGATTGAGAACTAAGCAGATTTTAGGTGACCTGTATCTGTGGTGACAGCTGAGAAATAAACAATTCTGAACTAGGAAACGTTGCTTGTAGATTCTCTTCAATTTATTATCAATGCAGTCATTATCAGAAAAGATTGACTGTGAAACAATACATGCAATTGCTTTATCTGACTGACTTGTTTTCTCCTCCCTTTCTCACTGAGTAAGCCTACCTAATGTCAGACTCAATAAAGTCAGACAGCTGGCTATAAGGAACAAACAGACCCTCATTAAGGGAGGCCCCTTGTGCTGCTTTTGTTTGTGCTCATCTGCTTTATGGGAATAGACAGGAAAAACATGAATATTTAAAGCACTTTGCTGTGGCTGGGAACCAGCTGAACACAATTTTGCTGGTGTTTTGCCCCTGTGCCACCTCCTCCAGAAGGAAGCCTCAAAGCCCATTGACCACTCTGCTCCATTCAGACAGAAGTACATTTGCTCTGGCTGAAATTGGTGGTTGAGTTTAATGTGCAAATGCTGTCCTCTGTTAAAATATCCCAAATGTTGATTTGAGAACTGCTTGGTTTTGTGGTTCCTGTCCACCAGCCCCATCCCCAGCAGAGCACTTGCCCTGTGGTGCCTGCCTGTGCTCTCCTTGCACTGCATTTGGGTGCCAGCCTGCTGCAGGCTTGGCAGCAGCTTGTGCTGGGCAGAGAGCACAGAGCTCCCTCCTGGCTCTGGCTGGAGAAACAATCCAGCTAACAGATCAGAGCTCCTGCAGGAGGGCACAAGATCTAGTCAGCTTGAACCCCGCTCTTTGATATTGTATTAAAATTCCCTAGAGTCTCTGTTTCATTCAAAACAGAGATTTTACTTTTGGGTAGATGCATTAAAAGAACACAAGCAAGGGACCTTTGGCATGGCCACAGCGGGGAAGGGATGGGCAGTGGGAAATGCAGCTTCCTGCAGTTCAGGCTGTCACTCCATATCATGGGAAAATGACCTGGAATTCCTGGTAGAATATGAAGCACTGGGGTTTGCACTGTTGTTGCTCAGGCTTGGGAGGGGATTGAACTGATTTGAATAGGAAAGATATAAAGATGCATGCTCAGAGACTAAGAATAGTATCAATCCTGTCTTTGTAAAGTCATTATTTTTCAAAAGGTGCAGTGTGATAAGGTGTGTTCTTTGGTATATATTACATTTATTTTCAAAATCCCAAGGAAATTGAACACAACCCCTGCAATGAAAGGGATGCAGGACCAAAACTGGTCTTTTGGTAAAAGCTATGAATTATGTAGAAATAAAATTCTGAGAGATAGGAAATGTAGTGCATGACCTCATGAGCTTCTCCGCAGCTGTATTATCTGATTCCCTTATGACTGAGGATCTGGGAATTGTGCTGCATGGTTCCCATGAGCACTCTTCTGATTTAGACTCTGCAAATCCCAGCAGAACCACATACTGAGATACCTCCTCTTCTTTCAGTATGAGATTCCCTCATTTTCTTGAAGTCTCATCCACTTATCTACATTGAGATGAAAAGAAGAAAGACTATGAGATTTCACAGTTAAAGTACTGACATAAGTAAAGATGGTCTTAAAATAGTTAGAGAAGATGTTTTGTTTCTCTGTGGGTTAACTGTGAAGTTCTCTGGGATTGTGGAGAACAAATTGTCTGTGGGGAAATGACATTTCCTTTTCAATTGTCCTTATGCACTGTGCAGTTATGTGTATTTGGCAGTTCTTTTGTCATGCAGCACAGGTTCTAAGGGCCATGTTAACCACTCATTAACTCAGTCCAGGCCTTTAGGCACTCTCCAATGCACCTGAGCCCCTTGAACCTTAGAACTGGGGATAATGTGAAAGAAATTGGTGTGTCTTGGTGTCAAATTCTAATGAGGTACCATATGGAAATTGCAGATACACTGTGGAGAACAGAGGGCAGGAAATACCACCAATCTCTCCACCTGAGAAGAGAAGGTGAAATCCAGCAGAGTGAAAGCTGCAAGAGCTGCAGAGGAGAAATCAGTTTAATCTGATGTCAGAGCACCAACGGGGGCTCAATTCAAGTCACAAACCCATGAAAAATTGCAAAATCCAAATCCTTTGTGAAGGTTTATTTAGAAAAACCACAATGCTGGGGAGTCACTGTTACATAGCGTGGTAATTCTCTTCCTCTTGAGTAATATGCACCACACCGTGCGCATGCAATTACATCTGTTCCAGAGCTAACATTGCCATTTATACATGTACACATATGGTCCTCAGTGCACGCTACACTTCACAGGGATGTTAGGACACACACAAAGTTGAGCATTTCCATGAAAAAGCTGTATAAAAAATACAAACCAAACTGAAGCAGTCAACGCGAGAAGCAATGTGCAAAAATAGACAGTTACTCCTGAATGTTTGCTTAAGAAAAAGGGACTCTTCTGTCCTTGTTCCCCATTCAGCATTGACAATGCAGATGCTGTCTGAAAATAGGATATGAAATAACTCATCCTGCCCTCCTTTTTGTTAGTTGCAGAGATTTTTAACCAGCTAAATAATCCTGTAGTAGTGTGAAAATCTGCCTCCAAGCATCACCACTGTTGTTACATGTTACATGTATGCTGTACATGTACATGTGTGCTGCTGTTGCATCCAACAGATCTTTGTATTGTTGGAATGTCTGACCTGTGACACTCAAGCTGGTGACAGCCAAGGCCTTGTGTGGGGCACACAGAAGAGGCAGAACAGAGACATCTCTGGTCACTGAGCCCCCTGGCAGGGGCTGGCAGCAGCTGCCTGCAGAAAACAGCCAGGGATTGGGAGCTCTCCTCACACATGCTGGAAGGAGCCAGGCTCCCAGGTCCTGGCCATGGGGTGCACAGCTCTGGCCCTGTCTGCTCGCTCATGGTGGGGCTGGTGCTGGAGATGATCCCTCCAGGGTGAGGCTCCTCCCTCAGAGGAACTGTGGCTGTGCAAAGGGAAGGGCAGATGAAGGGATGGAGAGCCACAGAGCTTGCCCCAGCCAGGTACCTCGGTGCAAACTGGGGCTGAAATTCACACCTGACTGTGTAAGCACACGTGTGGCTCTGAGCAAAGCCATCCAGGACATGCTGCAGACACCATGAAGCAGTCAGACCAGCCCATCCTTGTGAAACTGCTGCATGCAAATACCAACACTGTCAATGGCAACTAAGACTAGAAATGGATTGCACTTGTCTCCCTTGAACACAGATACGTACCACTAAAAAAGAAAAAATAACCATTAAAAAATCTTCAAACAATTGATTGATAATTGGGATTCCCTTGGTTGGAGCAAAGGAAAAGAACAAGAAATTAGGGGCAGAGTGGTTCCTATCACTGAAGGTTGTCAGTAACATAATCTTTAGATGCTGTGGATGAGGATTCTTCCCACCATGAAACTTCATGGTGCAAAGCCCAGTATTCCCCTTGTAATCCAAATGTTTTCTAAGGATTCTATTTAAGCCCATGCAGAGTTATGACTGTATTACAGAACTTGTAATTTTTTTTTAATGGTAGATCAAAGTTTTTCACAGCAAATCCTGCATGGATCCAGGGAAAACCTTAGCAAGAGTCCCCTGTGTGTTTTGTTTTACTAGCAAAGCAAAGGTTTCAGTTCATTCTGAGGAAAGGAGGAAGTGGAAATTGTAGAGACTGGGAGCTGCCAGGGAAGTAAACTGTGGCTACTGCACTTTTATCCCAGCTCAGCAGACCACTGCAGCCAAGTATTTTAAGTGGGATTTCAGCGAGTTATTCACTTTGGCCCCACTACAAAGACCAACAGTACCCAACAGGAAGAGCATTGCCTTGCACCTTCTCCTTTGCCTTACAAAAGGCACCGAGGGAGGGTTCATCCTGTTAGCTCACACCGCAGCAAGGTGAAAACATCGCTCAGGGAACCGTGCCCCGAGCAAGCAGCACTTCATCCCTGTCTCAGAGAGGCCAGAGTGGCCCGGGTGGCAGCGCTGCCTGCAGGAGCATTTCTGCAAGCTTGGGGCGTGTGACACCTCTGACCTGAGCGTCCCTTGGCTCTCACAGCCTGCACCCCTGGAGCCAAAATGAACCTCTGGCTGTCAGTCAGCTGTTGGCAGTGATACACCTGTGGTAGAGAGTAGTTTTAGATGGTAAAATACACAAAATGAAACATCAGACTGAAGTATTACTGAAATTTTGACGCTGTTGAGCATTGGGGTTAGCTGCTGCTTCGTGAGTGTTTTCCACTGGGTTAAGATAATGTCCAGCATGTAAGTTGAGGTCATAATTTAGCAAAGCATTTCTGCATGAGCTTAAATCTGCCCTTATTCAGATAAACACTGGCACGAATACTCATGTGCCTTGTGATGCAGGGACAAACCTCAGCTGCAGCAGATAAATGTCAGTCATGTAGCTGTCAAAACTACCCCTTTAGTGTCTTTCCCTGGTAGCACAGTGGCTTTCTTGGATTAAGTATTTAATTAATCTTCATCTAAAAGGTCCTGAGAACAGTCCTATAATGCTAACAAACGTACATAAATACAGAACTAAAAAAAGTCAAACTCATGGCTCAAAGCAAAACAAATATTGCTCAGAATACTTGTTTAGGTTAAGATCACTAGCTGTAAACTGTTCATTCTAGTAGCAAACAAAAACTTGTTGGCCTAGAAAAAAAACCCAAAACATTCAATGTCTACAGGATTGGCAGCACTAATATTACTTTACAATGTGGAGTAAGAATAAAAAACATCAGTGTAACATTGCAAAATGATCCACCTAACCTAAGCTTATGTAAACAAGTACGCTTTGACAACGTTCATACATCTAGGTGTGATCCTGCTCTGGGAGCTGGGCGGGTGGAGACCCAACAAGGGTGGCAGGAGCTGTTCCAAGGTGGGTCCAGCTGCCCAGATCCCACTGCAGGAGAGAGGCTCAGGGGTGTGAACCTGCAAACCTGTACTGGCATCACTAGTACTACTCCTGGGAGCAGCCCATTGCAGGATTCAGTTCAGCAGGACTATACACATAAATAAGGATTATTCACAAACATAAGGCATTGCAGAACTTGGCCCTAAAATTTCTATTTTCAGCAGAGAATCCCTTATCCATATACAAGGTCATATTTTCATATATCAAAAAGTGTCTAAAATAAGGGTCAGAGTCACTATATGTTATGCTCAGTAACATGGTTAAGATGCTGCATATTGGCTTCAGATACTGCAAACCATTTTCTTCATTAAAATCAAACCAACTATGAACCTTTCTCATAAGAATTAAATTAACCATGAAAATTAAAAACGAGCAGGCTCTGTTTTCAAGGTTAAAAGGAGACATTAACAGAAATCAGCAACTCCCACGGTAACAGTTTTGCAGTGCCTTTCCTTCTGAGCAGTGAGCACTCTGAGGCTGCAGTGGTGGTGGGCTCCAGCCCTGCCTGGTGTCCTCGGCGCTGTGGCTACTGCCGCTCCCCTTCCACCCGCTTCTTCCGAACTGCGCAGAGCAAGAGAGAGTCAGCACTGCCCTCCTGAGAGCCCCTCCACACCAGCCCCCCCAGACATGGAACAGCACAGGAGCGAGCAGCTCCTGGGAAATGCTCAGAAGAATTATGCCCACAAATACCACAATCAATATATACCATAGACCGTAATGCTCAATAAAATAATTGTACCTAAAGTGCATTTTTTTGTATCGCAGACTGTAGAATTTCACCGAGTGTTCACATCAATGCATTTTCCACAAAAATCACATTCTGAGCTAAAGGTTTTAGATGATAAAAAAATCACCGCTTCCTGCACTTCCTTCCAGTGATTCCATTTAGATTTTATTACAGTTTTATTGTTCTTTTAAAAGACACTGTGTTCCAGCCAAATTAATACTGGTCTGCTCTAGTCTGCAGTACTCTGGATTATTTAAGCTTTAGGCATCAAAAATTAATAACTTCTGTAATTGCACAGTGTATCCTATAGGTAAGCAATAATAATATTTTTTTAGAAAATAATCTGAAGTACTCTTAAGTACCGACATCTGTTAATATTGGCAAAAAATATCATATTGGACCTTCAATTACCTGTTTAAACTTCACCTGCTCTGACTGCATCAACCATCAGACAGTCAGTTAATTAACTCTGGTTTTCCACTGGAAACCACATAGGCTGAAGTCACCGTTTAGCAAAGCAGAGTGGTAAACCTTGTGTTATGGGCAGGATTATTTTGACAAGCAGTGTGAATTTTTACAGCACCTAAGATACATTATACCTGGTATAGAGCAGGTTTAGTGTGGCAGCATTTGCTACTCCACATTCTAATAAAATGCACTGAGTTTTTTCTGACCTGGCCAGATAAGATTTGTGAGGTTCTCCTTTTTGTGTGATACAAAATTTAGTGTGATGTCAGTTCATGTCCTGTTCCTGATATTGAACAGCTGAAGCACAGAACAAAGCAGTAGAACTTGATGGATGAATGCTTTTCACCACAGAAAGTCAATAACAACAATGTATTGCTAAACATCTCATTACTTTACTAAGAGGAGGTTTTTTTTTAATCATGCCTTTTTGGCAAACAGACTGCATTATTCCAAAGCCTGCAGTGTAGCATCAGTCATGTGTGTCTGCTTTCAGTGTTTTGTTCATTTACTTGATTGAATTCCTTTAGGAATTCTGTTCTACAAAATCTTGAACAAAACCAAGCAAACATGGGAAAATTAAGATTAGGACATAATTCTAATGACAAGTGGTGAAATAATGGGAAAAAAGGGTTTTTCTCACTTTGTAGATGGGATATTTCAAATGCCCTTCTGGACACTGATAATTTTAGAAAAATAGTTTATAGTTGGAATGCTTAGGCATTGCTAAAAATTAAAATTTCAAACCCCTAAAAGTATGTCTGAAATAAAAAGGTTTTAGCTCAACTTTTATCTTAGTTCCCACAGAGAGAAACCTAAGCTGAAACCCACAAAGACATCAAGGTTTGATACCCCAGCCTAAAGCAGAACTGATTAAAAATAAGAAGTTTAATTTTTTTTTCCCTTCCCACTCTAAATTTCTTCTGCCTAGTCATCTCCTTTGTATTCTGTGTACTGAGCACACAGGGTGTGCATGTCACACTCAGGTGACACTTGCAGGGTTTTATTGTCTGTGGCTGTTCTAGCTCACAAAAGCAGGAGAGTCTGTTTTGCTCCCTTGTCTGATCAGGCTTGGTCCATCATGGGCTGGACAACAAAGTCAGGACTTCTGTGTCCTCTGAGAAAACAGGGCGGGTTTGACTCCTCATTTACTGGCCAGAACAGCTGATCGAGCAGTGAGAAATTTAGGATACTCCATAGAAAAGGCTGAAATAACTCTCCTTCCCAGAAGGAGCAGGAGAAAGATAGTGGCTACTAATTCCAGTAAGATCTTTGCTGGTTTCTGCTCTAGAGTTCTGCATCTCCCCTCACACAGAGCAGCATGAATCCTGTAGTCAAAATTCCATCTGAATGTACAGACAGGGAGAGCTGTGCCTGGGAAGGTCAGGGCTTGGCTCACACAAAGAAATGATGAGCAAATGTAGTGACATCTTACCCAGGTCGTTGTTTTTAGTGATAGCTGCTGCCACCCTGGTTCTTGGACCTTGTTTTGTGAACTGGTATCCAAACTTGAGAATCCTGGAGTTCTCCTCCAGCATCTTGGCAATCTCCATCTCTACAGCTGTCCCAAGCTGCTGCCTCTGTTGGTGATGTAGTGAAGTGTCCCCAAAAGAAAAGGAAACATTTGCTTTCATATGAGAGAGAAGTAAATGGTTGTGTTTAAGTACTGGGCTGCAAACTACAGAGAATCCCATCCCTGGAGATTTTGCCCTGGGTTTTGTATTTGGCTTTGAGTAGTTTTATTGAGAAGTTTTCCACTCTTTGGTTGGACTGGCTGGGGACATGAGCTGCAGAATGAGCCACAGAGGCTGCATTGACTCTGCCAGAGTCCCCTGGTAGAACCCTCTGGGAATCCATACAAAAGAGAAACAAAAGTGAACTTCACCAATGGTCTCTCTTTACCTGGTTGTCAATTTTAATCTCTGTTAGGGATTCATTCTTTTTCAGTGCATCAATCAGTGCCAAAATCCCTGTCCCAGTGATGAAGTTGGATTCTACATTCAGACTCTTCAGTGTTTTGTTCACTTTCAACATATCTGCAAATGCCTGAAGGGCCAAAAAGAGGGAACATGACATAACATCTTGAAAGTTTCAGGGAATAACAGGGAATCTGCAAAACACAGCTTTGTACCGACAAGAAATAAAACATAAATATGCTTAGAAGAATGGAGAAGTAGATCAGAAGAGATTATATTTCTACTTTGCATAGCCATAGGGAATTCCTGCAAGGGAAAATAAAGAATGTATCCTAAAACAGACATGGACCTGCTTAAAATTTGTTGTGGCTCATTTTTCCCAGTAATGTTAAAACTTACAATAGCTACAGGGTCATTGCTTCGAGTAGCTGCAAGGCTGAATGTCTTCACATGTGTGTTGGTTTCCAGAGCTTTTGCAAATTCTTTCAGTGTTGGAATAGGAATATTCTAGGGTAAAAAGACAAATCCAGTAGTTAGGAAAGCAAATAACACTGCTGATTTTAATTATTATGAAACTGATTGCTGAACAACCACAGTCCATGCAAGGAAACATCCCTAGTGCTTTTAGGAGTGTGTCAGACGGGCACAGTGGCCCCAGAGGCTGGGGGTGCCTGTGCCAGGCTGCGATGCCAGCGCTGCCCAGAACTGGGGCAGGCCAAGGCAGCGTGACCCTCCTGAGCCCCTTTCTATTCCCCTGCCAGTTGTTCAGTCTCCACCTGCCAGCTCCTCCTCCAGTTGCCTGTGTGGGCTAATTGAATTTGGCCAGTGATGACTGCACAGTGCCCATGAGATATCTTCCTTTAGAATTTGCTGAGAAAGGCAGCCAAAGGGAGTCACCCCTTGGGCATTTAATCAGCTTTTAATTCAGCATCAGGAATTGATGACCTTGGAGCCACTACAACAGTCCTTTCCCCACCCCTTCCCTGAGTGTCCTGCTTTTTCTGATCAGTAAAGAAAGACAAAATGTGAGGATAAAAGGCACAGGCTTTGGAAGCATTTGAATAAACCCTCCTATGATGACATGGACAAAACCACAGCATCTACCTTTATGTTGTTGAGATTAACTTCTGTGAGACTAGGATCATTTGCTTTTATCCTTTGTAGACTTGCTTCCACATTGGTCGGATTGGGTGGCTCCTCAAAGATGGGCTTGACCTTTTCACCTTTCACCACATCTGCAACACAAAATCTCATGAAAACCCAGGAACAGGCACCATCACTCTGGCTGTTCAATTCCCATTTAGGTTTGTAGTGCAGCAATCCAAGAAGGGTTTATGGGAACCACAAAACCTGCCAGTAGGAGTATTATCCCCCTTATCCCTGCCATGCCCTTTGCACCCCCTGTGCACCCGGAGCTGTCACTGGAGGCTGTGGTCAGGCAGGCTGGGCAGCACTGTCATGGGAAAACTTCTCCTTTATATAAAAATCCCTGTACAATTAATTGGAGCCAAAGCAGCTTTGAAGACTATTGTTTGGGATGTGATATTCTGCAAGGGCTGCTTTGTACTTTGTCTAATATCTGTAAAGAAAGGTATGCTCAGAACTTGCCCATTATATTAGTAAGAAAATGTCCCTGCACCTATGAATAGACATAAAGCAACATGAGCAGGAGGCCCCTCAGTTTCCTCCTCTCAGCTGATACTATCAGCCTTACTATAAATTCAATTAGCTCTTGTAAAATTGCAACATCTGCACTTTTTAAATAATAAAACCATCAAAGCATGAAAAGTAAGTCTGTCTGCCAGCACCAAGATTTATGAAATCTTTGAGTAGTCATGTTCCAAAGAACTATGGTATTTAGTGCTGGAAGCTATGAGCTATAAATATTCTCAGGGATGCATAAAAATCATAGCTTAGAACATAATTAGCTTAGAATACAATCTAATTCCCACACATATAGTTGTGGAGATTAATTTATTAGCCCTGACCGCCCAAGCCACTAGAAGCAAGAAAGGAATATTTTGCTGACCACAAGTATGTTTGAATCCTTTATTTTATGCTGCAGACAGGGAGAGGTCTTGAAGACTTGTGTTCAGGTCTCAGTGTACTACACATTGCTGTTCATTGCAATGGGTTAAAGTTCATGCCATATCACGGGCCAAAAGAGAACCATATCTTAATCAGAGCTCATACTCTACATAGTAGAGATGGTCATAGAAGAATCTTGAGCTGGTTTTCACTCTGCTCCCTTTGATGCCAAATATTTTTTCTTTTTTACTAATTCCCTGAGAGACCTCACATATCCCTGGTAACACGTCAGCCTTTCTAGGGAGCTGGGAATTGAAAACTACATTTAGAGAATTCACCTTGGATGCAAGGATAGAAAGTAAACAAAAAAAGCAAAGCATTTTTTGCACTTGTGGCAACACCCTGCCAGACTGGGAGCAGGGGAGACACAAGCACCCTGTCCTCAGGTTAGACATCACAGTGTACTCAGTCTAGAGTCAGGAGGAATTTTAATTTTCTACTTCTTGTTGCTTTCCATGAGTTTTTCTTGTTTCTTTAATCATGGTGTTGTTTTGCGACATTGATAGGCAAATTTTTACTGAAGCATTTCATTTGGCTAAGGAAAGGTATTGCTTTTGGACCAAAGAATACAGTGATGTGATGGTGATTTTCTGGTTCGTAGGTCTATGATTGGAGCATAGTTTAGCTGACTCACATAGCTGACTTTTTGACTTAGTACAACAAAAATATTCTGAAATCTATGAGGATTAGTAATGCATGCAGTTGCCTGTTATGAGATAGATGGCAGCTCACACAGGGCCCCACTGGGAAGGTTTGCAGAGCAGCTTTATCCTGAGAAAAATGAAGTGACACGGTGTCCTGTCTACTTTCCCACCTCCCCTTTAGCAATGGAAGATGGAAAGGAAAGCCCTTGGTAAAGACAGCTGCTGTTCTCATGGCCTGAGAAGAAGAAAACATTTTTTTAGTACTGTTTCACTAGGAAAGGGCATTCCACAGTTTTGTCTTCAAAAGTAAAGTTTAGCCCACTAGATATCCAGGGCCTGGAGGCGACAAGCTCTGGATCAAGGCTTGGCAGCTCTCAAGAAAAGCTTGGAATTCAGATGTACCCATTTCTCCCTCCATCCAGCCTCCTGTGGGTTGCTGAGCTAAGATCACATTCACCAAAGGTCTGTTTATTTAGTGCAAACATTTCTGGATTTGTTTTTAGTAACTACAGCTGTTTCTCTTGGGGGATTTCCAGAATGATTCCGTTTCCTGTGTCCCTAAGGGGCCACAGAACAGGCACTGCAGCACTGCCACAGGAGCCAGGTGGAGGTGGGAGATCAGAGGGAGAGGCTGGGGCAGGAGCACATCCAGGCAGTCTTTGCCTCCCTGTGATTGCAGCTCGAGGTGACTCTGGTCACAGATGTGACTCTGACAGGGATTCTGCCACATTTGAGCCCAGTGGTTACAAGTAATTTTTCAAGTGTGTAAATGTAGGTACCTGGGGCAAGATGGCCTGGCCTGAACTGCAGCCAATTCTCAGCTACAGCTCACTCTGTTTTCTGCCTGCTGCCTAAACTGAAATGGAATGGAAATTTATGTGTCTTGGCCTCTCAAATACTCCCACTCTTTCAAACACCTCTGCAGAGCCAGATACTGCTCTCCAGGAAAACAAATTTCCTTAGAAATGGTTTGTTTGTGTATTACTGTTGTTTTTATAATCAATTTTAAGATAGTATTTACTTTTTAAAAGCCACCTAATGATTAATTAGATCAATGAAAGCTAGGCCCAGTTACATTACACTAAATTAGACCAACAGACCCCACCTACAGGTGTAGGAGTACCTAACGATGACACGCAGCCCACAAGAGAAATCTGCTTGCTTACTTCTCACGATTCCTTTTCCATCTTTACCGCGGGCTCCTGCCTCATCAAATTTCGGGTTGTTGACCATGTTGTGCACTCCAAGAACAGCTGAAATGTGTAAACACCAGCAAGAGGATACAGTGTTAATGACAGGAACACAGACTGCAGGAAAGTATCTGCTACAAATTGTAGTTTAGTTCCCCGAACAAGACCCCCTTTATAAAATGTTAACTGTGTGCGTCATGCCTGCTGGTAGGGAGAGTCTTTTGGGCTCCAAATTCTGGAGATACAGACACTTTCAATACAGATTTTTGAACAATCGAGTCAATGTAGAATGCATATCCCAGAAGTGCCAGCTGGAAGGAACCACTGTGGGTCATCTTGTCCAGCCTCTCCCTCAGGCAGGAGTGCTGCCAGCATTAATGAGGTCAGCCATGGCTTTGTCTGCTGGACTCTGAAAACACCCAGGGATGGAAATCCCACAACTTCTTTGGGTAAATTGTTTCAATGCTACACTCCTAATCACTTTCCTCCCCTAATATATAACCTGAACTTCTTATAACTCGTATGTTCTATTGTTTGGTGTATCTGAGAATTTCACTGTACATGTGATGAGCTTAATGCATTGGCATTTCCACCAGGGTTTCTTATGGAAGCCCATTGATATTAACGCCCTTGGAAAATAATCAGAAGTGGTGAAGATACCCAGGTCTAATCACCTGGCAATCAATTTTCTCATTCAAGGGGTTAGATTCCAAATTTCCTCATGGATTGAGGATCTTTATCCACCTCATGCTGTAACAAGTTTACCTGGCTATTTGGGATGCCAGAGGTGAGAGGAGGTAGCTGTAGTATGCTACAAACAACACAGATACAGTAGGATCAGTCACTTCCATTATAGTGCCAGCACCCCAGCCTGCAGTCCACTGTCCCCCCTTCCCTTCCCCAAATCACATGAGCTGCTCCATCTTCCCCCCTGGCCTGACACATCAATTTTAAGCAGAGAAGTCTGGAATGCTCAGTTGAGTCACGTTTCAATCATCCTGGGCAACGTGTGGCCCACGGCTTGGCCATCAGACAAGCACCGGGGGCTTGAGGGGTCATCACGAGACACTCCTGGTGGCAGGTCTGGCCAGAAAGAGCTGGACACGTGGGAGGATCATATCTGCATGTTTTCTAACCTGCAAGGTCATAGAGCTCGGTATCAGAAGCACTGGCCAGGGCCTCTTCTAGTTCTGGATCCAGGGTCACCTTCTCTTCCGTGCGGGTTTCTACGGGCTTTTCTTTAGGGATAAATATTTTTCCTAAGATAAGAAAAAAAGCCAAAGTGAGCAATGAAATATTGGAACAACTTCTTTTCCTCCTGGCAGCAGAGGAATAGGTCTGTGACAGTGCAACTGCTTGAAAATATAATCACATGCATGTTTTTCTCCTTCTTACTTGACATTATCCTCCACACCAGGATATTAATAAGTCTAAAAATAAAAGGTGTAGATTACTGCTCTGTGTTGGTGATTATTTTAGGAATTTTCTCTCAGGAGGTGTCCCAGCTGGGATTTTTCTGAAGGTCCTGTGTCCTTAAATAGGCAGAATCAGGTCTACACAAAAAGCTTGCAGAAATTTCCTCCTTATATTTAAATGAGGCAGTAGGAGCAGTTAAAACCATCCTACTGTAAGAATCTTTCAGTTCATGAACTTCCATACATGATCCTGAAAGCTCAGCAAACCTGTTCTTTTCCAGTAAATCAGTTTAATTCCCAGCTCTTCCAGAATATTTTCCCTCTGTGCCTCCTGATTATCATTCACATAAATAGCCTTATCCTGATCATTTGTGCAGGCCTGAAAAGTCTGAACTGAACCACATGTTGCCCAAGAAAGACTCCTGGCATATTTGTTTCTCTCTGTATCCTGCTGATACCTTTGGGCAGCAGATGTGTGTTTCCATGCAATATTCCCCCAAGACTGAGGTCATTGGCCTGTCTGCTGAAATGAGGAAAATGCAGGATAAATCCAGGAATAACACAACAATTCCACCACTCCTTCAGACTGCAATGATGGTTCACCTCAGTAGTGTGATGATGTAACTGCAAATGCTTGGAGTGAGGCCCCTTCACTCAGAGCTGGAGCTAAAATAGTCTCTAAAATAGTTTAATTTTAACTCTATTAGTCATATTGTTGCCATTCATAAATGTAATTCTGATATTTAGTATTGAATTACAAATGCTTTGCCTCTGGTTTTTCAACACTATCATCCTTTTGTGGCTTCATTTTTTCCCCATTATGGTCCAAAGTATCATTCTCATGTAGTAATTTCCAATTCATGTATATCTTTTATACAAGTTTATACAGCCACTTTTATGCTGTCAGTTTTCACGACTCAAGTCACTGAGTAAGCTCAGAAAAAAACTTTAATTAAATTTCTGAAACTCTGGCAAGGTTTATTGATAAATGATTCAAATTATTTGCCTTACAGATATTTCTACCAAGGCTAAATCACTTCTGAGTACAAAACTGGACAGAAAGTTATACAGAAAGGCAAAGAAGCATCATGGTATGATTTATTTTTCATGTGATACTTTAAGTAAGTAATCTTTTTAGAAAAGGCTTCAAGAAGATAAAAGGATAAAAGCCTTTGGTGGGTGAAAGGTAAGAACCATTTTAACTATGACTGCATTAGGTCACAGCAATTAAGGACAGCCATCCCAGCAGCACCAAACAAAAATCAAGTGGAAATCTGGGGTAAGAAACACTCTGCAAAGATAGGTCAGTCATGCTTTACAGGTTTAACAGCAGCACAGGCTTCAGACTCTCTCTGTGCTACCACCTAACCTCAAGTGTTGGGTGGCACTGACCAAGACTTAACTTGACAAAAGGAATTACTGTGCTGGAGGCCAGAAAACCAAAATCAATCAGAATATCTGAGTGAACAATCAATTGTGAGGAATACTGTCCAGAAAGTGTTTTCCTTTCAGATCACTGGTGATTCCACGTGAATTTCAAGTATTCAGTAGGTTGTTTAAGATATTGAGGGAATTTTTATCCTGACTGATAGCACTGTTGTCTAGCAGCAATTCCACAGGGCATAGCCTGTGGAGACAAAGCATCTCCATCAGGCAGTAAGTGATTCTTCACAGGCTCAAACCCAGGTCCCACTTTTAACAAACACTGATCCCAGCCTGTACTGTCACATATAATATTGTAAAGGGACACAGGACCTTGAGTTTGGACTAAACTGGACAAAATATGTGGTGTAGTTGGTCTTTAAGGACTTCGGATATGTGAAGGTCAAGTATCTTGCATAGCAAGAAATCAAGGGGTAATGGAAACCTCTAGAGGCTCAACAGCTCACATATATAGGAATACAATTTTAAACATTTGCTTCAGGCATATGTAATTCTTGGATAACAGCCTGAATCTTGTTAAATGTGTACATGATTCCCAATGATAGTTTCATTTAACACATTCTTGGCAAATGTTTTATAAAAAAAAACTATTCTTGGTTATATGAAATATTTAAAGGGGCAAGGTCATGTCAAAGACAGTAATATATATCTTTAATGTATGTGGGCCTTGCTGGCATCCAGTGGGGTTTAAAAATATTCTTTTTATTGCTATCTAGATAAGAACATTCCACTGTGAAGAGATGCTGTAGTACAGTAGATGGAGGTTAGAAAAAATTCTGTATTTAGCATGTTATTAGGAATTTATTACCTGTCCACCAGCTGCAAAACCGTGTGTCTGTTTATAGACAGCTGTCAACCAGTTTTCCTTCATTATTTAAGGACAGAGTTTAAAGATTCAGGAGGTGTCTCCTAGTCCCACAGCTGTACATTGTAAATTCATTTGCCAGTGCATCATGGAATTCACTGACAAAATAAAATATGGATTGTGGCTTCCTTGATTCAATGGTCCAACTTAAAATTTATTACTTGGAAGAAGCCTTGGAGGAATAGTGACATTTTATTATTATAAAGTGAGATTTATGATGAAAGGCTGCTGCTCTTGGTGTTCTTTATATTCACACTGTGTTTTAAAAGGTACTTTATTATTACTTTATTCTATGTGGTATAATTAATGTTGGCTGTGTTATATTTTGCCTCAAGAATATGCTAATATTCTGTGCTAAGTCTTAATAGTAATAGCTTAACTTTCTACCAATGAAAAACACAGTGACAAAAGTTCTGTTAATACATAACTTGAGCTACTTGGTTGTTAACAAGAAAAAAAAATAAACACACTTCTGTATAAGAATAAGATATTTTTTGTTTAACTGCAACCAAAGTTCAACTGAAGTAAAATATAATTTTATTTTTACACAAGCATAGAAACCCAAAGTGTGTGAAATCTGGAGTGCTTTCTTTCAGTGTGAAATTTTAAGTGTGCATCACTGCAATTCTCCCTTTTTTTTGGCCAAACTGAGCCAAAAGTGTCTGGGGTGACCTGGGTGATGACTGAGGCAGCTGATTACAAGCCAGGGACTTTCTGAGTGTGAGTGCAGTGGGCAGAGTTTTGTCTGGGCTCAGTTTAAGAGCAGACCTACTCCTTTTCACCCACTGCAAAACAAGGCTTCTATTGAAGCTGAAATTGGATATGGTTTTCCTCAAAAGAGGCTACGGGAAACAAAATCCATTGACAACCAGAGGGAAGAAGGATTCAGAGGAAAGCACTACAGAGAGACACAGAAATGTGGACCAAGGTAAAAGGAAAGCAAATTCTCTATAAAAAAAAAGAAATTCACTGGAAACCATAGATGTAATTTTGCCACTTGGTTCAGCCAGGTCTCTGTTCCTGCACTGTGCAAATGCTCTCATTAAAGCAATGTCAGAGTAAAGCAAGGAAATGAGACCTCCACCTTCTTATACAGTAATAATTTACCACCATATGCACATCTATGGAAGGATTTATTAAATTAGCAGGGAACTGCTTCAAGTGTATTTTCCTGAAGTGAGTTTTTTATTTATTGTTGTATAAGGAGGGGGAGAAAAAGGAATTTGGATAGTGTGGTTAGTAGGATTTTAGCAGCAAGTCTAATCTAAAACTATTTTGGGATTTCACCTTTGTAGTTTGCAGCATTTGGAGCAGCATTTCTGGTATGCCTCCTGTATTCCTTCCTTCTTATGTCATTTGACTTTTATGAATAAATAAAAAATGGCACAATTTTTATTTTAGTATTTATTTATATTTAGTACATACTTGGTATTTATTTCCATCTTGTACACGTCAAAACTGTACAAGTGAAAACTGAATAAAAAACAGAGGAATGGGAAATAAGCCCATTCATATTAGATGAAAAAAATCTCCTTTTAACATTAAATTTTTAAGGATATTTACTTAATATTATAATACAAATGCATTTTCTGCTAGAATTGTAAAACAATAATGTACTTTCTTTTCCTGTATAGTGTAGCTCAGATTATTGTATTTTCAAGAAAATACCTGGTTACACTTACTACTTCTGACTTCTCAATGAATCACTGAGTACAGTGAGTGCCTGTTTGTTCTCAATTACAGAATGCTACACTGACCTTGGGAGTGAAATTCAGTAATCCTGGAAATCTGCCTTGCATAAATCACAGGCACCTGATTCTTTTTTTCATTTTACACTATTCTTTTCTGTTGATGCTTTTTTAAACACCTCCCTACAATTATTCTACAAAAATGGAGCTAAATTATTTCTTACCAAGAATAAATTTGTATTATGAAGAAGAAAACACGCCAAGTTCAAGTAAGCATGAAGCTGAATGCCAGTAGTAATAAAAACGCAGTATCATAACTGTTGTTGTTCTGTTGCTCTTGGATTAGTGTCAGCATGTTCTAGGCCTTAAAAATGACAATGGAATAGGAAGGCTGCAAAGATAAGCATTCCAAAGTTGTTAAATCTATTGTGCATAAACACAAAAAGTGAACTCAAGTTGCACCAGTATCCTCGACTTTGATCAGCATGCTGTGATTCTGCCACTGCAGCAATACTCTTCAAAGAACTCTCATGGAAAGTATGCTTGCTCAAACAAAAATAAACAAAAGCCAACCTGCACTTTTTTAAAACAGAAGGAAGCCTAGAATTCCTTCAGACCCTCACATGGATTATCACAAATTAGAATGCAGTCCTAGGGCAGTCCTCTGCATTATCTCCTGGATTATTCACCCCACTAAGCAGGCAGAAAGCTCTTAAATCTGATGTGGAATGGTGGTAGAGGAGGAAGAAACTCAAACTGTGCCACTGCACTTCAGGTCCTCCTGGACATCAAAGACCTTTGAAATATGGGCAGAGCTGAACACTGCACTAGTATGTTCCTTTCTGGCC